GAAAACTAAATAAATGTAAGCTTTGTTGTAATTTTTTTATAGTTAAAAACGATTGGACATTTATTGGTTTAACAATAATTAAATTATTATACTTACCAACATTTAATAGATTTAAAAAAAACGAACTTTTTATAACAAAGTTAAATACGAAATACCCCTATTAAATTGTATCGCTTAAAATGAAAAACAATAATGGAAAAAAAATCAATGAAAATCTTTTTTTATTTTATTTATATTTTCGTTTCATTGATCTATTGAGTTCAGAACGAAAATTTAAGATAACAGCGATTGTGCAGCAATCGCAAGTAATCGTAGGTCTACTAAAAATAATTGACAGGAATCGTTAAACCCAGACAGAAAAAAAAATGGTATATCTGATGGTAAATCTGACTGAAAATAATTTACAAAGAACCTGACAATTATTTCTGACAAAATAAAATGCACAACAATTGAAAATGACTTGCCGCGATTGTAGCCTTATTCCGGCTGTTTAAATCAAATTTCTGATGCATCGCTTAAAACGAAAGTCACTACATCGGCCTACCGATATATGCGTTAAATCGATATTTCGCGATACATCGATTTATCGTCCAGTCCTATCTATGCTCAATTCTAAATGTATACCTTTTTATATTTGTACAAAAAAGTTTTGTACAAATATAAAAAGGTATTCATCTTAGAAAATAGGTACCTAAATAAGAGTCGAATTACAATAAAGGGCAATTCCACGGAAGTGTCAACTTTTAAGTGAATTTTTTTTTTATGAATTTCATATTTTAATTTTAAAAATATATTCAAAAATAGCCAAAGTCTACATATTCCCGTTTCATTTTTGATAATTTTAAATTTTTTGAATCTGGCAGCATTCTAAAGTAATCACATGGCTGACAAGTGAATTCTTCACATTTGTGCTCAAATTGTTTTCTTGAAAAATACTTTCAAAATAAAAGAAATGTATCTTTCTTTTGAATGCGAAAAAACTTCGCTAAGAGTAAAAAGGTCTCCTAATAGTCGCCTATTCCTGAAAATAGTTACTTTTTTAGCCTTTTCTCGCAAAAAAAGTCGCCATAGTCGCCTAAGGCTGAAAATAGTAGCAAAGAGTCGCATTTTAGTCGCCTGTCGCAACCCTGTATTCTACTTTTGTTTTATTTACTATTCTACTTTTATACAATTTATATTTTATTTTGGGCCATTCTAACTGTAATTTTATCTTTATTTATTTTTCTTATTTGTGGGCGTCTCTTTATTATGTCTTAGTTTGTGTACTAAGACTTAGGTTGTGTATTAAGACTTACTTTGTGATTGTTTGTCATGCATTTTTCTTAGCATTTACATTTAAATGTTTCTAATTTCATTTTCTTATTTAATTTTCCATTATAAGGCCTAGGGGCACTATCAGTTTTTGCTTTCACCACTGACAACAGAAATGCTCCTGTATATTAGCAGGCAGTGTGTCGCCTGATGAAGTTCTGTCCTGCTAACACACATATCTTAAATTGTTATAATTTTTGCTGTTTTCTGCTAGAATTGTTTTTCTGACTTTATAAATTAAAATGAAACAAATTTGGATTTATAGCTGTTGTAAGTGCTTTGCTATTTTGATTTATTATTTTAAATGTTACTAACCGCAATTTCGCAGAGATAGGCCGCGGCGTTATTGATTTAAAACTTGAAAATTTAGTAGGAAGGCGTATCTAACAGGGCGACCTATATAGTATTACTTTTTTTTTTCCTCAAAAAATTTTGCTTTTTAGAAACCGCACTGGAAATTTCATCTTGATTTTTTCCACCTGTTATTGTACTTTTTATTTATTTTTTCATGCTTAATGTCACTCCAAGGAATGGTGAGAGCACCTGGAATTTTCCCCTCCCTAATCCTTTCTTGGAATCATTTTCTGGAGACCACTATCCACAAGAGAACAAAGTCTCTCTTCCCCTTCTGCCATATGGACAGCTGTTGAGTGTAGGAAATGGGAGTGGAGTGGAGAAGCATAAATCAGAAAGGAATGAATGAAGAAAATCAGGGTGGGGCCAGTGATAACGTAACTGTAAAACAAACGCTCCCCCACCCCCCTTCTTTCCAGGAAATATGACTCTTCCACTTGTCATGGATGCCTCTCCCCACTCCCCTTTTTTCTTCAGCTGGTTGTTAAAAACGTGTGAATGTTTGGTAAATAAAGCATGCTGGTGAGCTTGGAATGACCTTCAATACTCTTACAATTAGAATGTTCAAAAAGAATTTCAAACTTTCCACTGAGGGTCAGTGCAGAGAGGAAAAAGCAAAGTGTGTGAGAATTTTAGACAGGGATAAAAGAAAGACTGTCTTAGGCGGAGTCAGTTGAAAAAAGAAACCTGATTTGAGAAGCGAAAATTGGAGGAGGAATTGCTAAAAATAGAAACTTGTTTTAAATGCTTGGGAGGAAGCTTTTTATTGTTGTTTTTTTTCATTGCTCATATTTCTGTCTGATTTCGATCATCTTCCTCAGCTTATTATTATTACGTTTTTTTATTGTTTTATCTTCAGTGCCTATGCGTTTTTGTTTTATTAATATTTTTCTTTCGTCAGTATTTTTGTTTCGTTTATACTATTTTCGTTTCAACATAACTTGTAATTAGGTTATCCATTTTAAATGCCTCCCATTAAGAGGAAAAATTATACCGCTGCGTTTAAGCTGTCAGCAATTTAAAGAGAAAAAGAAACTGTGATAAATGGCTTCAAAAAAGCGGAAATCATCCCAGGACAAACGAAACCAAAAGTGACGGAGATTAACCCGAAATAAACAATTACATAGTAAACCTAATTTGCAGAGAGTTATGATTTTGAGGAATTTTTAAGTGCAGTGATATGAATATATAGTGATACGTGATATCTAAATAAATTATTCTTAAGTTTTTCTTTGAACAAAATTTGTTTGGATTCATTGTTTATTTTTAAAACAGGATTTTGGATTGTTAATTTAAAAGTAAAATTGTTTTATTTTTAAAAAATTTCATACTTATTTTAATGGTTTATGATATGGTATTAATTATTTTATTTTTATTTTAATGGTTACTTCACTTTAAAATTAGAAAATGCTTAATTTTACTTAGAAAATTATTAAAATCTATTTTATATAGGATTGTTTCTATTTTTTTTAAATATTTAATATTCTTTTATTTATTTTTATTTAACTACTTAAATTATATACATATGCATATTTAGAGCATGTGCTAAGTCTTTAATCAATACCTGCGTTAAGTTCAAAATTCTGTAATTGTTAAAAATTCGGCGCACCGTGTACAATGGTGCGGTGTGTTCGGTGAAAAGCTTTTTTCTGTCAGTCGATTTTTGAGGGAGCGGCGTTTCTCCGCGAAATTACGATACTTTTTTTTTCTTTCTGAATTTGTAAATTAGTTTCATTCTTTGATTAGAATAGTGTAACAGAGTTCCCATGCTTTAGAAATTTATGTTATGCTTTCGTAAAGTGAATTTTTGCATGAATTCCTGTATGAAATTCAAATAAAAAGGGATATCACTGCCTTCTCTAAAAGTTAAGGGGCTGTAAAAATCAATTCAAGGTCATTTCCCGCATAAAACACATTAACAAGTTTGAAATATTCTGGGAAATAAGGATAGTGGATCTCAAAGAAGAGTTCGTTAAACAGAAAATTCACTTGGCAATTTGGAAGTTATTTTACAAAGAAATTTCCAAAATATTTCTGGTACCTAAAAAAAAAATAATAATCGCAAAATAGAAAAATTCGCAAACTGGGAATTTGTTAAATAGAAGTTCAACTGTATGTCTAATAAAAATATTTCTTCTTAGTATCCCCTTTGTTTTGCCATAACCACAATTTTTGAAGTCCCTCTCTCCCTACCAAGCATGATATATGGTCCCACACTTCAATTTTTTATCTTTTTAAAATAAAAATTTTACTTTCAATAAGTATTAGCTAAGGTTTAGACCTATAGACAAGTTTTTAAAAGTGTATACACAAAAGTAGCCACTTTTGAAGTAAAAAACAAGTAATATAAAAAAAAGTCAATTCCTACTAAGGTCAACAAAGAAAATTTTTATTTTAGTTACTTNCAATCAGTACTTTCCCACATCATCGAGTGAATTCAACTTGACCCTGAACTCAGAACAAAAGTACCCGTACCCCCTACGTCAAAAAAGTGCAAGAAGTAAAATAAAATAAACAATAATAAAATTAAAATAAATAAAAAAAAAACATTTAATAAGGATCTGATATTCTCCATCCGAATTGGAGCACTCGGGTTTCGGTTTCAAGTGTGCGTGCATGTGCAAGTCATAAAGTGGGTACGACATGAAGTCCGCGTGAATGATTACGTAGCAAACACCCCATTTTTCATGAAATGCATGGAATCCACCAGATATCACTGAAGGGGGAAAAAAATATTCGGGAAAAAAGCACTTTTTAAAAACGCCAGCTGAAAAAAGCACCTTTAAAAGCTTTTAAAAACGAAATCTCCAAAAAAGCACCTTTAAGTACTTTTTACAAACGCTACGCACCCTGGACAAGTTTTTAAAAGTGTATACACAAAATTAACCACTTTTGAAGTAAAAAACAAGTAATATAAAAAAAAGTCAATTCCTACTAAGGTCAACAAAGAAAATTTTTATTTTAGTTACTTTTTATTAAATAATTATAATTTTTTCACCCACATGAAACTAAAACAAATGAATTAAATTTAATGAATGAATTAATATTTGAAAAAAAAACTGTATTAATGTCAAGTTTCATCCACTACTAGTGTGTTTGAACTTGAGTGAATGAATAAAAAGTATTTTATTAACGATTAAAAATTTGAAAAAGATATATAGGGAGAGTGTGAACTAATAATAGGAATTAAAAAAAGGTCATCTTACACTAATTAACAAGTAAATAACATTTTATACAAATATAAGATTATAATATGTAAATATAGGGTGTCAAAAAAGTATGAATACCTTCAAATCAAAAATTTAAAAATACATGACAGAAATATTTATAAAAGATGCATTCAATGAAACTCAACTTGATCTCCCAGGAGGGAAAGGTAACTTCAATATTTTAAATAAAAAAAAAACATTTTTGTTGTTGCAGATTTAGATTTTCCAGAAAAAATTTACCCCTTTCAGGTTCACAGTTGCCACTGTAACTGTTAAATGAAAATAGCATACACATTGATTAGAAATGGAAAAATTCATGCCTTTTTGAAAAATAAAAATTAATGCACTTGACAATTATCAGACAAAGAAAGGTTACGAAATACATAAAAATTAAGTTACTTACATCAAAATCAAGCAAGGCATCTAACTGCTCATGAAGCACAGGAAGTGTTTTTACGAGCTGAAAATAAGAAAAATATCAAAATAATATACTCCAAACATACAAATTTAACAAATCAAGAATGATACTATAAAATGCTATTTAATTAAGTGTTTTAATTTTAAATCAGATAATAAACTGTGTTTAACAAAATAAAGCTCAAACAGGATGCATAGCCAAATCTTTCAACAAAAAATAAGCACCTTTTAAGCACTTAAAAAATATTTTTAAGCACTACATACATTAACAAAATACATATTAATTTTCAAAGACTTTACATGATCATGACAAAATAACTAGTTTCTGACAGAGATCTATTTTTCTTGATTACATTAGCCAAAATAAAAAGATAAGAGAAATATTCAGTTGGATTTCAGAGGGAGGAAAATGAAGTTAGAAATTGAAATCTATTGTAAAATGTAACGCAGTTGCTCATGATAGTGCAAGAATAATTCCCACTGAATGCAGCTCAGTATATGCACATGCGGACCCGTAAGCATTGCATCAAACATGTAAAATGATTGGTGCTTTCATATACAACGGAACAACGGTACGCCGAAATGCATTGCGCTTGAATGATTTCTGAAAAGGTTGAATAGAACAATGTGAAAAACCAGGCTTTTGCATAATACGCTTAAAAAATCAACAGGGTAAAGAAAAAAAATTCTCATTTTTGAAAAGGGAGAATTAAGCACTTTTTAAAACATCCAATAAAAAAGCACCTTTAGTGGCTTTTAAGAAACAATAAGTACCTTTTAGCGCTTTTTAAAAACACTACGAACCCTGTCAAATGTGGCATAACTGGTTCCAAAAGGTCAGGCACTTTTTCATGGGAAGATTAGTTTGTTCAGGGAAAATTACAATAATGACAACACCAAATAGTTAAAAAAATTAAATAAATTATACTAAAATTTCTTTTAAAATTGCATTCTATGAAGCTATTTCTTANTACCTTTTAGCGCTTTTTAAAAACACTATGAACCCTGTCAAATGTGGCATAACTGGTTCCAAAAGGTCAGGGACCTTTCCATGGGAAGATTAGTTTGTTTAGGGAAAATTACAAGAATGACAACAACAAATACTTAAAAAAATGATACTAAATTTTTTTTAAAAATTGCATTCGAAGAAGCTATTTTTTAAAATAATTTGTCTGCTTACAGAAAATTTGTTTATATTGTTCAAAATATAGTCCTATTCATCAACTTACAAAATTTATTAACTTACATATGAATGTAATTAGTTTACTTATTAAGTAAATACTAATATTTTGGAATATTTTTTGCTTTTTTAAAAATTTTATTCATTGAACTGTGTATCAGTAACGTAGTTGATAAGTTATAAACTTTAATACCGAAACTTACTATATGAAACCTATTACATGAATTTAAAAAAAATTTACAAATATTTACAACTTTCAAATTTGATAACTAAGTTTGAAATACCTTTAAACATTTTAATGAATAAAATAAAACCAATAAATATTCTAAATTACTATTTATTTAGTTAAAAAATTTTAAAAAAATTGCACTCTTATAATTCTCTGTAAGTTAACATAGAGAAACTCCTTTCTACAGAAAAGAGACCTATAAGAACAAGCTGTCAGACAAGTTGTAAGCAAAATTTTAACAGGAATCGCAGATATGATATACAATGATTTCTACCCACAAAATATTTAATCAATTTCATACACTCAGCAATACTTAATCCGCCTCAATTTAGTAAAATATTATATTCATCGCACATAAAGAATCATAAGATATAAATTAGCCACATTAGAACAAAATATATCTTCTTTAATTCATAGTATTAATAAGTTCTAAAATATGTAATTTTTATATACTATACTGCCAAGAAAAAAAGCCATAATTTCACCATCCATATAATCACAAATGCATCTTGACAGAAAATACAAATTCAAGAAATAGGATGCATTTTGTTACGCCTAAATTCTCATACATTTGTAAGACCAATTCAAAATATACAACATGTATTTTATTGAGTCAAGACAACAAATATGAAGAAAAAAATTAATCATTTGTAATTCATTATTTAAAAAAAAAATCAAAAACTGTTTACACCAAAAAGTTAAATATTTAGGTATAGTCAGGTAAAGCAAAATAAATAGAGAAACAGGGACTTTTTTTAAACTTTAAATTTTCCCCAACAAAAATACATCAGAATGCCTTTTTTATACATGAAATGATTTATTAAAATGATTCGAGGTCTTTTTTAAATTTTTCAGCTGATTTGATTTAATTTGATTATTTAATTTAAATTAGAAATTGGACAAAAAAGCCCGTTAAAAAAATAAATAAGGCAAATAAGCTAATATTTAAACATGCTTTGTTTTAACTAAATTAAAAATTACATGCACATTTATTTTAATGGATGACAAAGATATTCATTATGTTTTTAAAAGTTACGAATTTTTTATTTCTTGTAGACAATTACACATTTAAAAATGATAATAACAACTTTTAATCTTTCTAAGAAATTCCTATTACCCTTAAAAATGATTGATCTCTAATTTCTTTTGAGTATGTGCTCTGTTAACTAAGATGCCTGACAGGGCATGTGAAAATTGCTTTATCTTACTACCTGAACTTAATTAGTCCTGAACTTGTAATCAGTCCTGAACTTGTCTAAAATCTTAAAAACATTCAATTCTAATACACGTAAAATAATAATAATAAATAATTTACTAATTTTTAGGACTGCACTTACAGATTCTGTTGTCATATTTCTTAGCACACCTTCTTTCCTATAAAAAAGTTTAAATTATATAAAAAGTATATAAATAGATAAAAAATTTACAAAAATAAATATTTCATTTAAATATGAGAAAATCAATCAACATATAAAAAAGTAAGAGTTGCAATAAGGTTTTTTTTTTTCTTAAAGGGATAAGTTTTAGTAACATTTTCTTACCCTCTTTTCAGTTCGCAAAAGTCAGCACCCATTACATTGTATGTAGAAGCTTTAACATTTAAATACTTAGCATATCTGCGTACAAAGGTAGACATGTCATAACCTGTTGAAAAAGTTTTGATGTAATTCAAATAGAAATGAAGAATAAAAATCAAATTTCTATCAAAGAGAATATATATATATTACAAAAAGATTATATGATATTAATAAATATTAATATATAATATTATTTATATCTTTGTTCCTTCCAAAGCCAAAAAGCAAGAATGTAAATTCTAGTTTCCAAAAAAAGTAAAGGTCCTTGAAAAGTTCTGAAGAAAAATTCTGGACAATGTATTTTGTAAAAAATAAAAAAATAAAAAAAAGAACAAAAATCAGGACATTTTTTTGGAACAGAATATCGATAGAAGCAAAAAAGCATACCATAAGCTAAAAAAAGAAGTACAATTTGCTCTACTTAAGAATAAAAAAGGCAAATTTTGTTTCAAAGGTACAATAAAGTATACATATAATATTCTTAATTTACTTATCATTCTTTAAAGTATACATATAACATTCTTAATTAANATTCATGGATACTAGAAATAATTAAAATTGCAATTGATGCACCTTTATCTTGTAATTTTTTTCTTTAATAGTCAGGCACTTTCGCTTCGACATTTTGCAGCCGTAAGAAAAGCAACAAGCAGCACTCTGATCAGCAATCTTAAAACAGGAGCTCTACCGAGTGAACAACGAGAAAGTTGAAAGTTTTTCTAGAAAGGAAGTGAACAGTGGGGGTGGAGATAATAGGACATGTCAATAAGGGACCAGGGACCACACACTTTGATGACCCATTCCTTTTATCTTCTCTGCTCATTTCCTATTCAAGGAATTTGACCCTTTCCCCCCTTTTCTAGTGGGATTGCATTTCCTGTATGAAATGCAAACAAAAAGGGAAAGGAATTTTACTGCTTTCTCTAAAAGTTAAGGGGATGCGAAAATCAGTTCAAGGTTATTTCCCCCATAAAATGCGTTAACTAGTTAATAATTTTCTCAAATATTTTGGGAAATGGGGAAAGTAGATCCCAAAAAAAAAATTCGTTAAATAGAAAATTCACTTCGCTATTTAGAAGTTATTTAACGAAGAAATTTCCAAAATGTTCTTGGTTCCTCGAAAAAATTCGCAAAATAGAGAAATTCGTAAAATGGAAGTTCGTTAAATAGAAGTCCGACTGTATATCGGGATAGTTAAAAACCATGTGAAAATCAATATCAATAACTGCCGAAAATTTAATTGAAACATTACATCAATTTATGATACTATTGGCGCAAATTTAATGTGTCAAAAAGTGATTATCTTCATGCATGTTACAAATATGTGTAAATTTTTGTAGAAAAGAACTAAAAAAAAAATGTTGTTTTTTTTTTTAACTTTTCAAAAGAAAAATCTTTTTGCAAGAGCTCTGTAACGTTCTGCGACAATGTCGCTGCGATTCTACCATGAAGTATACTGGCATATGATACCTTAAATTTGATAGCATAAAATTGTTAAGTTTCTTTTGCATACGTCTAAATACACAAAATATTTTAAACAATGAATTCTAAGAGTAAAGATATATTACTGACTCATGCTTGCAATAAATGACAGTCCCGAAGTTTGAATTATAGAATTTTTACTAGCATCATTGATTAGATGTAGAATCAAAAATCTAAATCTCTTGATTCTTTAAATTATTTTAAAATCCTCATTTGCATGCACAGAGGATAAGAAAGTGCAACATGAATATTAAGACAAAATTATTTTATTTTAATCTGAACGACTAAAAACTTTGCACCGTTTACAAACAAGGCATAATTTTTTGAAGCAATTTTTCATCGAAGGAACAAATAACAAAATGCCTAATTTGAATGAATAATCAGCAAGAATAAGATGCCAGCAATAAAAAATTATGCTAAATAACTCCATATTAAATCAAATTATGTTTATTGTTCATAAATTAAACTAAATATGTATTAAATATTAAGTTACACAGATTAATAAAATTATCTAAACACTTGAAATGTGTTCTAAATTAAGCAAATTTTATTTTTTTTTAGATTCAACATAATTAAATCTCAGGCAGGGAGGGAGGGGCAATTAATGCCACACCAGGGCAATTAATGCCACACTTACATTCTGCAAAATAAAAAATATGTATATAAATCTCAATCTTAAGATGATTATTTAAACCATTATTTATAATTACTTTAACTATAAGCACTCAACACACTGCAGTACTGGCAATATCATTATCTGCTGAGGAATTTTTTGCCATTAGCCGATATTTTATCCTCAATTTTTAAAAAAAATTTCTTTAGCAAATACGGAGAAATTTCAGAATATACAGGTAAACAGGAGATAGTTGTAAAATACAGGAGTCTTCGTTATAAAACAGGAGACTCGACAGGTATGACTTTGTTAAATTCCTATAGATAGATTCAGGTTTAGAATCTCATTTTAATTCAGGGCCAATACATAAATTCAGTGAAAAAAATAACTTAGAATTAGTGACTTGCAAAGAAAAAAAAATTGTTTTAGTTTAATAATTAGTTTGTTTAGCAAATTAATATATCTGCCATAATTAATGTTTATTTTAAAGCTTCTCGTTGGTTGAGGAAAAGGGTGGCAGTGATATTGTACCTGAAGAATACATTCCCTTTTTGAAAAATTGGAAGCTGGTTCTGTCATTAGGCAACTGCAAGTCTATCTTAGTGTTTCAATAAAAAGTCTAATATAGGGGTGCACAACCTTTTTAACAGAAGGGCCATCTGTATAACAGATTGACCAACAAAAGCCCGCATACAAAAGTATTTAGACAGTAATTGTTATATAAACATCATTGTTCCAAGCACTAAATTCTTTTTATCAGTTAACATTGTAATATGTTTGCATAAAAGTAAGCCATCAATAAAAAGCGATCGAACTAAGATCAATCAAAAAGCGTTAACCATTGAAAGAAAAAACCGCATTGATTGAGATTGGGTACATCAAAACTTAAATGTGCAATTTCAAATTACCGTACTTGTTTCATTTTGTTCAAGTTGCTACCGCCGGTGGCACATCGAGAGTTGGCGGGCCAAACGTTGTGCACCCTAGTCCAATAGAAAAATAACTAAATTGGCAACATGACATCAAAAATCTTTGAAAAACAACCTTAAGAGCCGCGATGGCTCAGGGGTTAGAACGTTCGCCTTCCAATGAGGCGAACCGGGTTCGAATCCCAGTCGATACGAATTTTGCATCCGGCTTGCACCAACCACAGTGTTGACGTGAAATATCTTCAGTGGTAGACGGATCACGGGTTAGAGTCCCCTTGCCGTCAGGCTAACCGTGGGAGGTTCCTGTGGTCTACCTCTCCATGTAACGCAAATATGGGATAGCTCCATCAAAAAAAGTCCTCCACGAAGGCAAATTTCTCCTAATACTCGACCCAGGAGTTCCCTTGTCTTCTGGATTGGGTTCAAAATTACAAGGCTACAGAGTTGAACATTAGTAGTCGTAAACCCATAAAATTGGGTCGGCTGTTCAACGACGGTTATATATATATTAAAAAAAAACTTAAAAAAGATATTAAACATATTTCAAATTTGGAAAAAATATGACTTTATTGCATTGAAAAAATAGCACAGTGAAATCACTCCAGAACGACCAATGTCTGTCTCACAGTAAATTGGTCCTTCTTAGGGGTTACCTCAACTGACTTTTAAATGTCATTGAAAGTACATGATTTTTCGCAAGCAATTTGAATTTTACTCAGTGTCATTTTCTTGGTGCAGAAATGTCACTTTTATTCGCATCATGAAAATCTGATCAATGAATATAATTTAGCGTCAGTAAAAATGATCCCAACTGATATAATTATGTGTAAAAACAAATTTACCAATTATGAATGATAAATCCCATTTAATAAAATAACAATTGTGTTTTTTTTGCAGCTAACAATTGCTTTTAATTTCCTATCATAAAAATTAGAGTACTTTAAAAAATGTTTGGTTAAAAATTCCGATAAATTTCTTCTTGTAAAATATGTTAACAAAAACAAAGTTCAGTACTCCTAAAATTATTACACAATTACTGAAACTGGTTACCAGCTTTCTGGTAATGGGCAAAAGAGAAAATCTTGAAAACTAAGTCATTTAAGAATAAAAACAAACATGCTTATATCAGGGGTCTGTCTAGGTTTTTATGAGAGGTACCTATTTTGTGAAAATTTAGACATAATTTTCAAAAATTAAAAATTATATTAAAAGATCAGCACAAAAATATGGTAAAGTAGGAAGATATTTTCCAAAATTGTTACTACAAAAAAAAAGTATTTATGACTGGTAAATGCTTATAAATTTTTTCCCATATATTCAAAAATATTTTTGCTATTGTAAAATTTTTGGCTTAAAATTGTATCCGAATTTAAAAATCCATAAAAGTCATTGTCCATTGTTAAATTTCAACTTGAATTTTTTAAAAAAAGACATGCATTTAACAGTACTTGCACTTCAAGTTATTTTTATTATGAGAACATTTCTCATGGGGTCATATAGAAAAAAGTTTCACGGAAAAAAAAATGTTTCATAAAAAAATGAAGGTCTGTTAGAATAAATTTAGAACAATGTTCGAATGTTTAGAATAATGTTGGAATTTCAACTTCCTGTAAAATTTACAGAGGGAGTATCTTGTCGTTTAATTTTTAAAAAATATCGCTATAATTAGTATTCTATAATAGGCTTACTATACCATACTATCTGATCAAGCACATGCTACCTATTTGTACATGCGGAATTAACCTGGTATTTATCATTTCTTAGGGGGATACAAAAACAAAATTTTAAGAGGCGGGGAGGAGAATCTTAGAATTTTCCTTTTTAAAAGTATTTTGTGAAACTACTGTAAGTTTAATTTGTGAAGGTACTGCTAAACGGTAGTAAATTTGCCCTGGACAGATCCCTGTACATATATATTTAAAAAAATTACACACATTAATTTAACACATTATTAAAAGAAAAAAACATTTTTTTAAAGCTACATAAAAAAGGAAAATAATCTTAACAATTACTAATTTCAATTAAAGGATTCGAGTGTGTGTTCATATTGTATATATATATATA